CAGACACACATCACCATAGGAATCAATCAATGGATCACAACAAAGATATGAAACCATACTCAATCAAGGAAGGATTACAATCCGACACCAACGATGATCAACACAAGTTATCATCCACAATAGGAAAGAACAAACCACACACGCTAGCATTTCAACATCAAACTAGCATGCTTATCAAACGGGTAAACCAAACATAGTTCCGAAGAACATACAAGACTCATCATGGTTCAACGAATCACAAAGTTGAACACTTAGCACGATTCAAGACACCAAATCCTACATGGATTCCTACCATCACGTTCTAGACATACGAAACATCAAGAAGACACTCAAATAGCCCAACAAAAGAACATCGGGAAGTCAAAACATCAATTACCGAGTCAAAAGAATCACGGGGAACAAATCCCCAACAACTAACATCATGTACCCGCGGGTGGGGCCACAGGTGGACCCCCATCCGTGGTTCCGCTCGCGGAACCTATTCCCACAAGCCACGTACCCCGAGGGTGGGGCGGCGGGTGGTGCACTACCCACCGTTCCGCCCGCAGGTACACCTCTGTACCACAATTAATCCCTTCGGGGATTTTCAACACCAAGTCCCAATTCAAGTCCAAAACACCCAAAATCTCACAAAATACAACAATATGACTTGAATCAAAAGAATAGCCAAGCAATGGCATACAAGAACCCTAATAACAAGCTCTAGATATGCATTCTCACAAGACAATGCATCAAATCTTTCATTTCATAGCAAAAATCACAAGTAGAAGTCAAGAAATCATCATATAGGTAAGAAAATAGATTTTGTAAAGCATGGGTTCCCTCTTGTAGTCTAAACCTTCAGGATTTTAGAAATAAACTATCAATTAAGCTAGGATTAATTACTTAATTAATCCTTAAATAGAATTTGGATTTACGGGGTGTCACAGTGACAGTAAAGACATTCTTAATACCCCACTCAAATAGACAAGTCTCCAAGGCCTTGGCTATATACTCTCCCCTATGAGATGAAACAGGGACAAAGGCTATGATTTTTTTGTTGAGCTTCCACTGATCATCAATGAAATGTGCAGTAATAGACATGTAGTTTATCCTCTGTACAGAGGTCCATGTGTTAGTGGTTAAGCTTATTATTTGGGAGCCACCCTTAAAAATTTGTTTAAGGACTAATCACTCCTCTAGGTATCTTTGGAAAATATCCCTTGAAACTGTCCACCTAGAAGGGATTTAGAACCTAGGGCAGGCAACTAGAATAAATCTCCTAAACCCTATCCCCTCAACAAACCTAAAGGGGAACTCATCTATTATAATCATCTCACATAAAGCCCTCCTAATGGCTTCCTGATTAAACAACCATGTGCCTAATTCCCCCATTACCCCTTCAGAACCCTCTGGTGCAGAGGATGAAACAGCATTGAAGGTTAGAAGTGACTGCCTTGTATCCTTCGAGTGAGGATTTTTAAGACAGCTGACCATATGATTTCTTAAAGATGAAGTGCCATGTTTTTTTGGCTGACAACAAAATTGCCTTGAACAGTATAGGCACCTCCCCTTAATCAGATTTTTCTCTTTATCATATATCTTTTCAAAGTGCTCCTACACCCTAGATCTAGACTCAACCGCTTTTCTCTTTTTTCTGGAACAACAGGAGTCACCTGAGGCTGCTGAGGTATCTTAGTGCCTTGGGGTTGTCCCTCCTGAGTTGAAGGTTGTGGTCTAGAACTAGGTTGAGTGATTCTCTCCATCTAAAAAGATGGGCATCAACAACATTCAGATTTCAGACAATTGTTTGTCAAACAGAATAACAGATTAGCAGATCAAGCATACAAACAATTGAAATAAATCCAGATTCAGACACTTGTTTGTGTCATCATCTATCAAGATTTCATATTTACATTTGTACAAACAGTTAAGAACATTTAAGGGTCATACATTCATAAACTGATAAACATATCATATTTTTACATTACAAAGAAATCCAGATTCAGGAACACTATCCAGTTCATCATTATCTGGATTTCAGTTAAGGACTTCCACCAATAAATGGAAATTTCAAGTTTCAACCTTGATAATTTCACAGTTAAGCCTTTAACTTTTAAAGGGACATCACAAAATCACACTGCTTCCACAGTTCCACCATTATCACAGACTAGCAGATAATCAGAATGTATCAACATATCATAACATATATAGCAAGTTGGGTGGGATTTGCATACCCCTATGCGATTAAAACAGATTCAACCATAATATATCAGAATATAACACATAAATCATAAATATAAAACTAGGGTTTGGGTTTAAAACATCTTCTACCAAAATACATCAGAATATAACACATAAATTACAAATATAAAACTAGGGTTTGGGTTTAAAATAGCTTTAACCAAAATATATCACAATATAACACATAAATCACAAATATAAAACTAGGGCTTGAGATTAAAACGGCTTCCACCAAAATATATCATCATATAACACAAATATATCAACATGCGGTGAATAATAATAAATATAAAAACTAGGGTTAGCGATTTACTTGTTTTCCCCAAATACTCCCCGGAGAACAAGGATCTCTAACCAGTATTCACCAAAGAGAAGGGCTTCCACCACTTCTAAGTCTCCAACGGCCACCGGAGAATCAGACAGAGCCGGACAGCCCACAGGTCTCACCAAGTAAGTGAGTCACCGTCTCGGCGTCTCAGTCCCTGAGAGAGTGAAAGTCTCGGACTACAGAGATTAGAGAAGAAGAGAGGACTCTGAGACATATGAGTCTCTGAGAGAGGATTCACAGAGTCACAGAGAGAATCGGAGTAGAGAGAAGTCAGAGAGATTGAGAGAATTAGGGTCTCAAAGAGTGGAGTGAACGACTGCGCAAATGACCGCAATCTGCAAATGCATACATATATATTAGGCTTATACGACATCGTACCATAGCATAGCTTAGCAAACCGTATCAAACTTCGGATAGTTCGGGTGGGTTGGATGCGATTTTTGCCTACCCTATCTGATACACATTATCCGGCATCGTTTCGATTAGCGGATCGGATATGTGTTGTCGGATTCAACTCGGGTTCGGATGCCTTGTTTCGAACATCGGGTTGGACGGAATTTTCGGATTTGTTCGATTTTGCACAGCCCTACTTGTTACTTGATAGAGGATTTAATTTCTTTTTAAAAAAATTCAATTTAATAATAATAATAATAATAATATACACTGTAGTTAAGCTAGAAAATTATTGTATAGGGGTGGGGACCATCATTACACTTTATAATTTAATATGGTAACTGTATATTGTTGTATTATGTATGTCCCAATTAAATTTTAGTACAAATTAAATTAAAGGATTAACTGTATTGTACTACTAATCTTAACTTATATCTTATTATTATTATATATATATATATATATATATATATATATATATATATATATATATATATATATATCTTAATAAAGCCAAATCCAAGGTCACAAAATTTTTCCGTCAAAAGTGTGAATGGGCTTTGGGTAAATGGGCTGCAATGGGATAGATTTGGTCCAATTTTTTTAAAAAATAAATATAATTATATATTGGCTCAACATTTGTTATATTAAAACTTCTATTTTTTATTATGTTATATTATAGTGTCAATTGATTTATTTTTTATTTTTGTAATCCCCAAAAAAAGATATGATTTTATACAACATAAAGATGCAAGTTAAAAAATACGTAATCATGAATTAATTATAATTATCAATTCTTATTTTAATTACAAATATTTGTATTAATAATTACAAATCAAATCAACATAATTATTAAATTAAAAATTATATATATAAATGATTAAAGCTCATATGACATTTTTATATATATAATTTAATAACATTGTATAATTTAATATTTTATTTTTTTAGTATATGTGTCAACAAATGTCATACTTATATCATAAGGTACAAATAAGATGAGTACTAACTTTTTAATAATTTTTATGGTCAAAATAATGTTTTTATAGTTAAATTTTCATGATGTGCATTGCCCAAGCAAAATACTACTGTTTAAAATGACACAAGAGCAGAAGAGAAATTATTATTATTATTATTATTATTATTATTATTATTATTATTATTATTGTTATTATTAATTATTCTCGAAAAAACAAAATAAATAAATAATACAAATATTTAATTTGAATCCCATCACCCATCGAACTATGGGGGTGTCTATGGGGGTGTATGACAATCAACTAATAGCTGGTTAGATTAGCGGGTAATTGATAGCTGAATAGGTTAGCTGATTTGACCAACTGATTATATTAGCTGATTAAAAAAAAAAAAAAAATTTGGTAAATGAGTAGTCTATTTTTAGCTGATTGGATGTAAAATGACCTATAAGGACATTGTACTAATTTCTTAATTCTTAAATTATTTTTAAGATTTTTATTTATTTATTTGTTATTATTATTATTATATTATATTATATTATTATCTCTAAACTATAATTTGAAGAGAGAGCACTAATTTTGTACTGCAAATTAAAAGAAGGCATTAATTGTGAGCAGCAAATTGAAGAGTGACTGCCAGGCGTCACGAAAATCAGCGCAGGCATCAACGACTGGCATGGGACGGTGGATCGAAGAAGGCAATCGCGAAGGTGAGAAGAGGTGGGTCGGAGACGGTGGAGAGAAGAGACAGATCTGAGACGGAGGATCGGAGAAGGCAGTCGCGAAAGTGAGAAGAGTTGGATTGGAGATGGTGTGAGACGGTGGAGAGAAGATGCAGATCAGAAAAGGCAGTCGCGACTCGCCAAGGAAGAAGGATGATGCGAAGGTTTGCCGCTGAAGGATTTGGGATTAAGGGCTAAAATTGCCATTTATGCAATCAGCTAGCGTGAAACGCTGCAGTGATCAACGTTTTGTGTTTTGGCTGATTAGCCAATCAGCTAAGGTCAATAAGCCATTTACCAAACACTCAAAAATAATTATTGTTGGTCAAATCAACCATTTTATGACTGATAAGCCAATAACCAAACACCCCCTATATATATATAGTAACGATGGATTCAACAACGACGACTATGTTTAATTTTCAGCTAGCACGGTTTCCCAATCTTGCATCGAAGAAGACCAGCGAACTTAGTGATTTTGCCGACAGCTTTCCCAGGTAGTGGATTGACGAGGTCGAGGTGGCCGTACTTTTGAGCTCCTTTCTGATCTCCTGACGGCCTAAAGAAAGCGCCGTTCAAGAACACATCTCCATCCGAAACCCACGTCCATTTCTTCCAGGAATCATCGGGGCAGTCCCTGTGGGTTACCTCCTTGAAAAGCGGACCCTTAGGGGCTCTGAAGCGGTTGCCCTGGCTGATGATGGTGGACCCCGCTGACCCCCCCAACGCGTACATCTCCCAGTACGTGTAGTCATTGTTCACTATGTGGAACATACCCCACCTGCACCTCGGCATCCTCTGCTCCAGCCGTTTACCGAAGTGGTTGAAGGCCACTGTTATTTGCATCACCTTGTCCACTGGGTCCCAGTTGTTTGCCCCGAAGAGTAACACCTTGTGGTGGTCGGTGAAGTGGCAGTTGGAGATGGTTACTGCCGTCGACCCCTTAACGGCGTCGATGATCCCGTCGTCGCATTTCTTCATGGACACATGGTCAATCCAAACGTGGGATGATCCGAAGATGGTGATGCCGTCTCCTTCGTCGAAGGTCCGGAGGCCTTTGTGAGATACGGAGTCTCTAACGATGCCACCCGAGGTGGGTTTGATGTTCCTGATCTTTAAGTTGGTTATGATGATGTTCTTCGCGAACTGCAACGTCAAACCCGCGCCGCCGGCGATGCGGACATGGGCGCCGCGCCCGTCGATGGTCTTGTCGCTCGTCACTAGCAGCTCGTTCTTCAGCCTTATGGTCATGCTTTTGGCGAACGTGATCCACAGCGGACCGGCCTGGATCACCGCGTGCCGGAGGGTTCCCCGCTTCGGCTCCACCACGTCGTCGTCAAACCGGTTCGTCACCACGTAGAACGGTCCTCTCTTTCCCCCGGTGGTTCCGGCGCCGAAGCCTAGAGCGCAGCTTGCCAGCTTCTTTCGGTTTTTAGCCCAGTTGCGGTCGCACCTCCAGCAACGGTCAATAGGATTTGTGACCTTGCATGGACCCCTATACCTCTTCGATCTCATCAGGCTCCTCCTCGTACTGTTGTGTTCGTCGTCCAATTCATCGTACTCAACGTCCTCTAATAACCTTGTTTCATTCATCATCTTACTGATGTGTTTGGTCAATTTACTAGTAACCAATTCGGGATAGGGATTATAGGCTCTCTTAGCATATTGCATAGCTTCCGCCTTGCGCGTCACCCAATAGATGTCCGTGTTGTTGTGGTCCGCCGTATGGGCCATCACCACGGGGATGGCTGCCGCCAATGCATACAACATCACCACAATCCACCAATTCATCTTGCTATGCATCCCTTCCATTTATTTTTTTTTTATTTTTTTTTATTTTTTTTATTTTTTATTTTTGATAGGAAAACTTTTGTGCTGCAACAAATGTATGTTGTCGTTGCGAGAATATTAATGCGGCATAGGCGATGGCCTAGTGATACTAGACCATGCCCAACCCCAACTCGTATATTTTCCTTTTTAACATATGTTAGGCATTATTCTTCCCATTACTCATGTGATAACCCACCAAAATAGGATTCTTCTATGTCAAACACTGACTTTTTTTTTTCGCTAGTTTAGGGGACCTAATGCCTTCACATCCGTTGGTTTCATTAACCACCGCCATAATTATAGTTACTATTTAACAAGAAATTAGATATGGATATTACCATTTACCAGGGCCAGAGATATGTTATTTTCAATGACTCAATGTTCTTATTTATGTGTGTATAGTTTTGTTTGAAAATTTTAAAATGAACCTCAATCAAAATATATATATTGAAAATGAGACTTACTTTTTTTACCTAACATTTTCTCCATTTTCACAAATTTCAATGTTTTCAGATTTAAAATTATGTATTTGCATAATTATTCATACTTATCTACTAAACAAGAATTTTGTACGCGCAATGTGTGAAAATTCTTGCACAATATTAAAATACTAATAAATATAAATAATTAAAAATTATACTTCAAGTTATATATACACAAATAATATATGTATTATATACACACACATATATGATTTACCATTTATAGAAATTTAATTAAAATATAATTAATAATTTAATTACTTATATAATGATTTTAATACAATGATAATTAAATAATAAGAAAAAGATATGATAAATATAAGTGTATTGTAATAATGATGGAGTCATCAATATTAGAATTAAATAGTAACAAAGTTATAACAGTGTAATGGTAGTTTTGTCTAACAAGAATATAGTAGGGACAAGTTTGTCCAATAAAATTAAAGTGTACAACATTTAAAGTAAAATATATACCTTTATTAGCATACAAAAATATGGAGATAAATGAATGATATAACTATGATTGAGACTAAATATGTTTATATCTATCTACTATACTAATAAGAGCTCAAGAGAATTAGGCCTATCATGGGTAGAAAAAATGGCAGTCAAATTTTTTTAATCAAATGAATAGCTCATTGATCAGATTTTAATTTTTCCTTGAGATTTCCTAATTTATCCATAATGAATATGATTATCCGTTAACTTTTCCCTTAAATATTATTTTTTCTGTTAATTTCTGTTAGTTCACCATTAACTTATTGATTTCAATAAGAAAGGTCTTAGGTTCGAACCACATCCCAATCAAAGTGGACATAATTAGTACTATATTTTACTCTTATTAAATTAAATAATAATTTATTAGCTACACCAAAAAATAATACATATGCATTTCTTTAATTTAGAATTATGTGTCTACAATGCCTTTATTCAAAAAAAAAATTATTCATTATCAATAAATTAAATATGAGAAATAATTTCATTAGTTATAGATATTGTCTTTATTTTTCTCCAATGGTACCCGGGTTGGACTTCCATTAGGAAGGTTGTGAGTTCAAGCCTCAGTGGAGGCGTTATTAGCTCTTTGTGTTTCAGTAGGTTGAGAAAGTATATGAACAGATACTACAATGTAATAGAGCTAGTAGCATTCAAAAAAAAAAAAAGTATGAGAAATAATTTCATTAGTTATATATATTGTCTTTATTTTTCTCCAATATAAAAATTCTTTACATTCAAAATTCAAATTCATCAATTGATTATATTCGCTACATTGTCCCTACAGTGCCTTTATTCAAAAAAAAAAAAATTATTCATTATTAATAAATTAAATATGAGAAATAATTTCATTAGTTATAGATATTGTCTTTATTTTTCTCCAATATAAAAATTCTTTACATTCAAAATTCAAATTCATCAATTGATTATATTCGCTACATTGTCCCTACAATGTCTTTATTAAAAAAAAATTATTCATTATCAATAAATTAATTAAGAGAAATAATTTCATTAGTTATATTGTCTTTATTTTTCTCCAATGTAAAAATTCATTACATTCAAATTCATCAATGGATTATATTCACTACATTGTCTATTATATTTTTTGTGCACTATTTTTTAATTAAATATCAAAGTTATAATACAAAATAATGTTATATATTTATTTACCAAGTATTTTATTAATACCATGAAAAAATTTAAAAATTTTAAATTAATAAAGCCAATTATATTAACTACTTGAGGGATTTGTTGACAAAGAGAGTATTCAAATCACACAACAAATTGAAGTGAGAAACTACCCCACAATGTCCTTGTTTGACCATCAGCAGTTAGCGGTTAGCGTTAGCGGATTATATTAGCGGATTTGACCAGTGAATTATATCAACGGTTGGTAAAAGATATTTGAAAAAATTAGCTGTTTAAATTAACATTTAAAATGACCTAGGGTATACATATAATAGTAATAACAACAACAACAACAACAACAACAACAACAACAAGAATAATAATAATAATAATAATAATAATAATAATAATAATAATAATAATAATAATAATAATAATAATAATAATAATAATAATAATAATAATAATAATAATAATTGTTTTAATAATAAGTTTTTTTTTTTTAAATATAGATTTGTTTTGGGGAAATCATTCTAAAAACCGTTAAGTGAAAATATTGTAAATTGCAATGTTTTGTATTTTCAGTGGTTTGGAACAAATTGTTGCTTCAAACTGTTGAATAACCAAAACACTTTCTTTAGCGTTTTGATCTTTGGGTTACATCATGTTTACTAATCGTCCAATATCTTTGGGTTACATTATAATTAAAAAAAAAATTAAATTTTTACTACATCTAAATTCCTTAAATTAGGAATTTCTTTATCCATAATAATTTATTCAACAATAATGGTTGAACTAAATGAACACTGAGCAAAACATCTAAATGACTGGTACCGTTGATTCATTCATTGATCTTGTATATATGTGCATTCATTAAATATATTAGAACCTTTGCAACAAAAATATTTGGTTACTATTTAAAACAACTTTAGTAACAATTATAATGAATCTCTTATATTACATTGTATTCATATACTATGAATTACATATATAAATAAACAAATTAGACATTAAATTACTTATGTTGAACTTCTCATATATAATCTTGCATTTATATACTTTCAAATATTTATTTAATTAGAAACATTGGGTAGAAAAAATGACTGTCAAATTATTAAATCAAATAAATATTTCAGATTGTTCATATTTTAATTTTTAATATTGGGTAGAAAATATGACCGTTAGTCTTGTAACACCCCCTAAAACCATGCTATTTAAAGCCTTAAAACATGCAGATAACTTAAACCAAAACACCAAACACAACGGAAGACTGAAAGAGGAAATATATAAAACAAGGAAACGGGGTGCTATGTCACACTCACCCAAGGGTGAACGCACAGGCTAAATCTGCACTGTTTAAAATCTACAACCATCCAACAGAGTACTACGTCTAGATTGGCTCACAGGCCACAAAACATAAAAGGGGAGCTATACTAGCTGGCACTAGACCGCGCACTCGTCTAAGCATCACCTGAAAGAAGCATATAAAACATGGGACGACGCCCAGCCAGCGAATAATGCTGGTAACCCACCAATACATGTGAAATATCATACATAGATAAGGTATAAGTTGTAAAGTCATTTTCGAAACGGAATACATATATATAAGTCCAAAACAAAGAGTAATAATCAACACAAGACTCAACACTCTCAACAAGAATACGGGAACACACCCCAAGACTACAAAAGGACAACAACGACTCACAAGAAGTCTCAAGGTATAATCTATCATCACACAATAGATTAATACCCGACATGAATAACTCAAAGGAATAAAGACACACCAAATGGAAACACATGCCAAGGCAACACATGCCTTTGTGACTACACACGTCACAAGAAGAGAACTCACAACAACGGCTACACAAGCCCTCGTGACATCACTCATCACGAGTTGATATGCCTTCCTTATGCCCGGTTCCAACCTTATGGCTACCCCCAACCTTATATCTTCTTCCAACCATTACCTCTAGGACCCATGTACTTCTTAGTCCAACCTTTTCCCTCCTGGGACTGTCGTCCCCCACCAACAAACCACCAATTTCATAGTACACGAGGGTACCGATCACACACACGGCAACACATGCCACCCAAGAAATACGTGAACCTATCACTCAGGTCACAAACTCCATAATCGCGTCATGGCCACCACGAGGACCACTGCAATACCTTGGTGACTAGTGTCCCATACCACTAATCTTGCAATCCAGGTAAAGCCACACACACATCACACCACAACAGGAATCAATCAACGGATCACAACGAAGATATGAAACCATACTCAATCAAGGAATGGGTCACAGCCCAACAACAACAACGATGAATAACACAAGTTATCATCAACCAATAAGAAGGTACAAACAACACACACGCTAGCATTTAAACACCGAACTAGCATGCTTATCAAACGGGTAAACCGAAAGTAGTTCCGAGGAACACACAAGACTCATCACGGTTCAACGAAACACAATGTTGAACACTTAGCACGATTCAAGACACCAAAACCTACATGGATTCCTACCATATAGTTCTAGACATACGAAACATCAAGAAGACACTCAAATAGTTCCACGGAAGAACATCGGAAGTCAAAAGACCAAATACCGAGTCAAAAGAATCACGGGGAACAAATCCCTGCCAAACACCAAAGTGTACCCCGCGGGTGGACCCACGCGTAGACCCCTACCCGCGGTTCCGCCCGCGGGTACATAACCCACAAGCAACCTGTACCCCGCGGGTGGGCGACGGGTGGACCTCCTACCCGCCGTTCCGCCCGCGGGTACACACCTGTACCAAAGTAAATCCCTTCGGGGATTTTCATCTCCAAACTCAAATTCAAGTCCAAAACATGCCAAATCTCACCAAATACAAGAAAATGACTTAAATCAAAGGAATAGCCAAGCAATGGCATACAAGAACCCTAAACACAAGCTCTAGATATGCATTTTCACAAGACAATGCATAAACACTCACATTTCATAGCAAAACACATGTAGAATCCAAGAATCATCGAATAGGTAAGCAAAATAGATTTTGTAGAGCATGGGTTACCTCTTGTAGACCAAAAACCTTCACTTAACACCTCACCAAGCTCCTAACAAAGCTCACCTTCCAAACCCACTTCAAGAACACACCAAAAAGATCATAAAGATTCTATCTTTAAGAAAAGACACCTAAGAAAACACTAAAAACACAAGATGAACATGGATCTTACCCTCCTAGATGCCCAAATGTATGAAAGGTAG